GGAGGGTGCGCGGGCGCGGAGGTGCCGCCGTACCTTGCTGCATCAGCGCTCCCATCCCAAACCAGAAGCTGTTCAAGAGGGTGAAGTTATTCTCCACGATGTCCGATCCTGGGTTGCAGGGATGAGCATCGTACCACTCGTACGGGCTGAACCTGTGGCGGCACATGGAAAGCGAGAACTCGTTAGGCAGGATGTGGCATGACAAGACCCTAAAGGAACAGGAAAAAAAAGAGTCTTAATACATTCCGTGCTGCTGTGCAGGGCCTGCCGATTCCTTCGGTTGTGCGGCTTATTAAAGAAAAAGACAAATTCAGCCAAGAATGGTGGGAGAACACTTATTCCCTGTGGGGGCATATTTCCACGGACAGCTCTGTAGTTCTTGCGCAAAACTGAGGGAATTTTCTGTGATCATCTCTCTGCAAATGCTGCCTAGGATTGGTAGGAAGCGCTGCCGTGAACGTAGCTCTTTTAGCCAGGATCTGGGGAGGATGCTCAACAGGAGAGATGCTAATATTTTTAGAGCTGTTTATTTACATTTTCTAAGAGTCCCAAATTTTGCTGAGATTAAATTAAAAACATAATTGGTATAATTGCTTTTGAACCAGGCATTAATTATCATCTCCGCTTCCTTCCAAAATCCCTGTAGCTTCACAACAGCCCTTTCTCAAAGCCCAGCCCACAGTTTGTATTAGGAGATATTTCTCCCTGTAATTCTCTGCCAGACGCGCTGCTACCCAAGGAGATGTCTTGTTGCTTAATTTCAGACAGTTGGATGTATTTGGAGAAAAGAGCCGCAGCTCTCTGCCAGGTGCCCCTCGGCACACAAACTCCCCAAGCAAACAGCCACCCCCGGCTCTGCTCCGCGCAGCCGCGCCGTGAGACTCCCCCAGAGCCCGACACGCGGGGACATTCCACGAACACGGAGCCGCGGTCCCTGGGCACGCGAACCCGGCGAGGCAGAGGAGGGTGTCCGCAGGGGAGACCCCGTCACAGGGGATGGAGTAGGTGCAACACGCAGGACTTGCGGTTTTAGAACAGGTTGTTCTAGGTGCATCTGCCCCACTTTTTGCTGCCATTTTCCACATTCAAGGTACAGGGTAATGACCTTTCCTTTTCACCCCCCTTTCCTCTTGCCTTTCTGCAGCGGGGACCGTTGCCCCTCTGGGTTTGCAGGGTGCAGAGGCCTCGCCCAGGCTGCACCTGACAATCCTGCTCGTTCCTCCGGCTAATGGCTGCGCCGTTCGTACTGCCCACCTCCCTCTGCTTTTTTAAATAAGAGAAAATCGGAAAGGAAAACAAGAATTCACACCTGGTTTTACATGCTGTCTATTCCTTTAAACTTGCTGTAAATTTATGCCAGAGGTGTATAAAGGCTGGTGCTTAAGCCCTTTCTGTCAAATAAAGCCAGAGTTCAAGAAATAGATGAAAACTTTCTTGGGCTGCCAATGAAAGAATATGAAACGGAAAGGGAATTGGTAAGATCAAATGAACCTGACAAGATGACACACTGAAGAACTTCAAGGTTTCTGAGTGAAAACCTACTGGTGCTGCTCAAATTACAGAGAAATATTCAGAGAACTGCAAAGCAGCGACAGAGTCTTCAGTGCTTGAAAAGCAAGTGGGACCATTAGCGGAAGCAGAGGGGTGATGAAGGCAGAAGCGAGCAGAGCTCCTTGACCCGTACGGCTGAGCCGTAATGAATGGGGGCTGCTCAGGATTCACCATGGGCTGGCTTCCCTCTTCCTCAGGTGCAGAACGGGGCCTGAGAAATATTTCATCAAAAACTGTGATTATTTTCTTGTCTCATCTTGGCCTTTTTGGCAGGGAAACGGGAGCATTTCAAAGAAGGTTTAAAGATCTAACACGAAATACTTTTGAGTCTAAATTGCATCTCCAGAGAAATTTCTTCTGGATGATGCCAGTCCTTGCTGCAATTAAGATGAATATTAAACCCAGCCGCCCCGTTCTGCACCCAAAGGTGATTAGCTGTAATTTGAAGGCCGTACGAGTCTGAGGACGGGTGGCAGTTCAGCTCAGCCAGCTGCACGCCCGCCTGCAGCCTCGCACCAGAGCCACCAGACAAATTACCCCCAGGAAGCCGTATAAATTGCTGGTGTTTATGGCTCTTCTGGGGCTGGGCTGGTTAGGAGCAGAGGCTCCATCAGTAACTACGAAAGACTGATTAAAAGGGGAGATGGATCAAATACATCCTTTGCCTGCCTCTAAATAGTCCCTAAGTTGGTTTTAAGTGGCATTGACCTATGATTATAGCATCAGCAGAGGACTCTGGTGCCTAGTTCAGGAGACTCATGTCTTTGAAATAAGGCTTTGCTATTTTGACTGTGGTTTTCTCCTGAGAATTGAATTTTAGAGGCCTTGCTGGGGTCAAAAGCAGATATTGCTTCCATTACTTCTGAATGCAGTAAATATTTTCCTCGTGAAATCTCTTGCTCTTCATCTCTGTGTTAAAAGATCGTTCCTGCAGAACCTTAATTACACCGGATACTTGGTGTTCTTTAAAAGAACAGGAAGACAGACATGTCAGGAGCAAAACATGTGAAGAAGAAACTGTAATTGCAGTATTTTATAGGTTCCATTTCGGCCAAAAAATAGCCTGATAGGGAAAAACTGTTGTATTACATCATAACTGCTATGATGTAGAGAGATTATGAGGCTCATTTCAGGTATTTCAGATCAAAAGCAGAGAACAGCCATGGTCTTCAGGTTTCCATCCCTCAGCGCCAGCCACAAAGCCCAGCACAGCAAGCGGTTCGGAGCCTCCGGCGTCCCTCGTGCCAGGGCAGTCACCGGCGGGGCGTCAAAAAAGACACTCGGATTCCGACTGCGGCTGCCGTGTGTTCGGGCGCTCGGGGGTCTGGGTCAGCCCAGGCCCCCACCTCTCTGGGCAGCGAGTGCAGGACGGGTTGCCCTGAGTGCCCGAGGCTGGGCAGCCCCACGGCTCTCGGAACAGAGCATCGAGATTTTCCTGTCTGTAAAACGTGGCTTCTAAGGTGTTTTCACATCGGGGCCTGCCCTAGCATTTCATTCAACCTTTCCTCAGTATTTAGCGCAATGAATTTCATGCGCAGATACAATTTGCACATTTAACGTGCTTTGAAGGTGGGATTTGGACAATTTGGGCTGGATTTGGCCACTATATGAGTCGGGAAAAATAAACTCATAAATGTAAGATTGTATTTGAATTGTCATTCTGAGTTGCACAAGCAGTCTAATACTTTATGGCATCGGAGCCAAAGATGTTACGGCAGCAGAGCCCATCTAGCTGTGTTCTGCATGGCTAACAGAGACATAAAGCGAAGGAGTTCGATCAGTCATCGCAATATTTTTCCTTTTCGTAATTATCTCGAGTTCATTTTCCCAGATGCCTATCCTTTCCTGCCGAGAGCGTCTGGTTCCCCTCTGACACAAAGCAAAACCGCTGAGGGCCTCATCCTGCCCCGCCGGCGTCCCCGGCAGCCTTCCCAGGGGCTTCGGCCGGGGCAGGACAAAGCCGGCAGCAGGGTTTTGCCGGACTGTCGGGCATTTTGTGTGGCCCCCGGCCCCTCGCCCAGCAGTGCCTCCGGCCGCGGGGGCTGCGGGGCAGAGCTGGCGGGAGGGTGGCACACAGTGTTAATGGTACAGTGACACGGCGCAGAAACAGCAAGCACTACCGTTTCTGTGCCTTGCGCCGCCGGCTTGCTGAATGCTCTGGTTGGTTGGTGGTACGAGCTGCTGTCCGTATGTCTGTACTGCAGTGCGAGGAGAGCCCCGGCCCGTGCTCCCAGCGGGCGCTGTGCAAGCAGCCTGCAGAGCCACCCGCGCTCAGACGGCTCTGCGGGACCTCGGGAAAACCTGGAAACCCGGTGTGTCTGCGTGCGAGAGAGGGGCATTGCAAAGGCTAGGGAGGAGAACGGCTGCAGTTAAAATCTGGGCCGTAGAAGGCTGCCTGTGTCCTCTAAGAGTGAAGCGCAACCTCTGCGGCTCTGCCCCTCCGCAGAGGAGGGATCAGGCGATGTAGCTGCTTCGCCGTCCCAGATGGTTTGCGGCGTTAATACTGGCTGCTAAGCCGAGTTTGCTCTGACAACTGCTGTTATGTGTAATTAGGATATTACATAGTAAACTCAGGAAATCATCTTTAAATGCCTCTGTGGACCTGAGGGATGTTGAAAATTGCAGATTTGTTGTAACATGAGGGTTAATGGATTCTGGTTGCTGCAGTTTTGTATTTAATCTGTGACTGTCTGATTGATGTCAGTGGATCAGATGGAAGCTGTTTTCTGAAGGATGCTCGGAGGAAAACAGCACAGCAGCCCTTGGAGGGAGAGGGTCTGCACAGAGCCCCGGTCCGAGGTGTGGGGTCAGCAGGGAGGTTTCTGAAGGCACCCCTGGCATAGCTGGAACTGGATGAAACGAGAGATGAGTGGCTAACTGCAGGTCGTGCTTAGGAAGCTTCTCCGGCCGTGCAAAACATTTAAGCATCCAGCGAGGGCTGTGTGGGGCCGGGGAGGGCGGCCGTCCGGCAGGAGGGAGGCAAGTGCTTTGTTTTGGTTTGAAAAGGTAGAATCATGTACTGAGTGCAGCCCTGGACGGTGCAGCTCATCAAAGACTCTGTGAAATTAATAACACATGCAAATGTATGCAAATTCTGCTGCTTTTAAATATAGAGGTTTTAAACATGCTAATTAGATGCATATTAATTTTGTAAACAGACACTGTCTGATCCGTAGCAACGGGTTCTCCATTCTTTTGATATAGGGAAGGGTTTGTGGGAGCTTTGCTGGTGGAGGGTTCAGAGACAGGAGCTGAAAATGGTGCGGGACCACGGGAGCTTTGTGTCCAGGACACCACGGAGAGGCTGGGCTTCTCCCTGGAGAAGGTGGGTGAGAAGCGACCTAACAGGAGCATGAACCGTGAACGGTACAGAACAGGAAAATCACCCTTCATTATACCAGGGAGGTGCTAATGAAATGGAAAGGCAACAAAATTTCTAAAATGATAAAAGAAAGTGCATTTTAAAATTCTTTTGTACTGGAAGTCTGCTAAATCTGTGGAACTGCCTGCCCTGATACAGCAAAAGAGGCTTACAGGTTTATGTTAATAAAGCAAACAAACACAGGCACATTCAGTATGGTAAAGCAGTACAAAAGATGTAATACAAGCTGGAGCTAGCGAAGAAGGAAACAAATTTCCCCTGTGGATAGCTCATCTTTAATTTTCACCACAGGGTTTGTATCACCTCTACAACCACTCTGAGATACCGGTCCAAAAGGGAACAGAGCACGGGAGCCTGGCAGTCGTGAGCGTCCCCGCGGCAAGAGACCAGCCTGCCTTTGGGTAATGGACCAAAAGTAATTTCATTAATGACACGGGTTTAATGCTGCGGCTCCTGCTGGGTGGTTGGATTCCACCGACACACCGGGCAGCAAAACGGATCTGAGCGTGGGCAGGGCGCCTGGTGGCACGGTGGCACCGGCGTCCCCTTACCTGGCTATGACAAACAGCACGCAGCTGACCCCCAGGTAGGCGAGGAGGATGTACATCCAAATGTCAGGAGACAGGGGGTTGAGGAAGGAGAACACGCTGGGGTTGGTCCCGTTGGGCTTCCGGTACAAGATGCTGACCCCCAGCGTCATAAAGGGCTTGGAGAAGTCTATCGCTTTCTCCCGAACGTGGGTGATGGTGAGAGGAGCAACGGCCAGGTCAGCTTTCTGCGTGCAACACAGAGCGAGAGCGGAAGAAGGCGTTAGAAACCGAGGCGTTTCCATCCCCTTAGACACACCCGCAGCAGTCACACTGCAGTGTGGGGCCAGAAAACCCCCAAAGCACAGCCCTGGGGTCCCCCCTCCCTTTGCACGGGGGTGAGCCTGCCCTGTGCCCCCTGCGCCTGGGCAGCGCGGGCGCCGCGTAGCTGCTCCCCGTCAGACCCGCAGCCTGGCTGTACGGGCGAACACAAAGCTGTCACGCAGCTGCGCTGCCGGGCACACGAGCGGTGTCGGGGCAGCTTTCTGTGAGCTCTGCTCCAAAGCCTTCCAGGTGGGGCACCAAGGACCGGTCTGTGTGCGATAGCACGAGCCTGAGGTAGGACAGGTGGAACGTGGAACCGATCTAATGTGGCCCGGTTGTTACGAATACTTCTCATCACCTACACAAAACTCCATCAACATCGATGCAGGGTCTCCAAAACATGCTGGGCGAGATTCTGGACGTGGTGGTGTGCATGTGTTTACCACCTTTATGAGAGTTGTTCTGGATTTAGATTAGCGAGCTGGAGAGCGAAATGCGGTCTACTGTTTGCTAGTTATACTTTATGACTTTCATTGTCTAGATTTTTGGCTGATGTTAGCTACTGAAATACAGCGCAGACAACAGAGAGATGTTCCGGCCTCCACCGCTTTAGCCCAGGTGCAGTGAGCGCATTTTGATAGGCTCTTCCAAGATGGTCAGAACAATTATATCTTAAAATGGTATAAAACACCTGCGATCCTCGCTGTGCTTGCTTCTTGCCGCAGAACTCTTTGCAACAGAGCGTTTGCTCTGTGCAAATCCCACCGTTTGCAGAGATGATTTGTTTTTGTTGGCCTTCCTTTTAATGTTGCTGCGAGAGGAGAAAGTCGCAGGGGGAGGCCACTCCAGAATGAAGTTGCATGAAGTAATATTGTAGTGGCGTGAGGGAAAAGGCTCAATTTCTTTCCCCTCAGTCGACTTCATGATACGACTTGAAAGGCTCATTCTAAGGAAGCTGTGGCATAGGGCACCGCTGTTTGGGAATGCTCACAAGCGTGCCTGGCTGGTGGGAGTGAGCAAAACCTCACGCGGTTCCCGTGGGGGCTTTCTTCCGTGCGTAAGGCTGCAAGCCCCACCGGGGAGATGCTTCTGCTCATTAACGGTGGACTTCACAGCTCATTGTGCTGGAACTGTCTGAGCTGCACGAGGAATTTAAGCTGAGGATAGTATTCATCCTGACTTCCTGTATGAATTGTGTTTCCTTCTATTATTCCTGTTATTTCATCATTTCTGTGCTAGATTCAGCGAGTGACCACGTACAACCTCTTTCTGTTGCTTAAGAGCTGCGTTCATTTCCTCTCACTAAACATTCATTCAGGTTCTTAAAAATCTTCAGTAAATGCGTCCAAGGCTACCTCAATGTCAGCTGCCTTGCTTGGGTTTGCAAATCGCTCTTTTGGTATTGACTTCAGAGGAAATGCAGGCACATAAATTACGTTTCTGAAGTTGAGCAGTGCCTTCCCCCCGTGCCAGGTGCCTAGCATACCCGTACAAGATTTATTTAACATCTGGTTCTGAAAATTAAAATTCTAAATTAACCATGAGTGATAATTACCTAGAGATATAGTGGATTTGTCATTACTTGCAAACTTTAAATCAATATTAGCTGTCTTGCTAGAACATGCTTTTCTCTAACAGAAACTATGGGTTCACTGTGGAAATTGGTGAAGATCTCTGGCCTGTGTTGTGGAGGAAGGTCAGACTAATGATCTTGTTTGACCTTGCAAATCCGTGACGAAAGTCAGCGGAATATTTTTAAATACAGGAATCTGTGTCTTTTTCTACAAGAGGAGTTTCTACGCGAGCTTTTATCCGTTACATACATATGTATGTGTGTGTATGAAAGGGTCTGCTCGCCAAAGAACATAGCTGTAGAGGTCCTGAACAGAACGGTTTCAGGAATTCTCTAACAAGGGTAAAAATATGTATTTTTTTTTTTAGCATGGTTCTTTAGCCAAGCTCTGGTTGGTTCCCTCTCCTTGTCACTTTCCAAATGGAAATACATTTTAAAATCAGCTTGGTACAGAATGTGTCCGTTTCAATCACTGGCATTTGTCAAAACTTTGAGAAAATGGAAACAATATGTTCCCAACGAGCGCCTTTGTGCCAGCTGTGGCTGGCTGCGGTGACATTGATGAAAACTGAAGGACAGCGGCTTTCAGAAGCGGCCAGGCAATGCTGGCTGCCCAGCTCGAGACGGGGAGGGTCTGCGTCTCGGGAGCCGGCTCTGCATCCTGGGCGCCGTCCTGGCAGAGGATGCCCGGCAGCTTTGTAGCTCGGCTGCTCTCCCCACGTTACAGCGCACTTGGGAATTTTGGCTTATCAGTCTCCAAAGTCGCAAGGCAGAAATGGCAAAAGAAACGCAGCGTTACGGCTCCTGCGTCGCTCCTGCGTGCGTGTCCTGACTCAACGGGGAAAACCAAAGGAGATCTTGAAGGATTTGGCTATGGATTTTTCTGAAGGAGGAAACAAATGAGCAGTTCTGTGGTCTGTGCTCGCTAGCAACGGCCTGTCTGAAAGATCCTGAGCCAAATTTGTCAAAATGGTGTAGCAAGCTAAGTAACAGCTAGGAGTTTATGCTTTACCACAGAAAATGAAGAGAGAGAAATCTGCATGGATGCCCAAGGATCAAAATGCTTTTAGTGCAGAAATAAAATTTTACTGTGTCATTTCAGCAGCTCCTGTGATTTGATCACAGCCCCGTGTCCTTGGCAGTAAATGTCGCACACAGGCAGAAGGGAGCATGCATTAGGGAGCCCAGTCTGGTGCGGTGTCCTGAGCTGTTAAAGGCAGTACGGGGCTGCACTTCGATATCCTTTTCATCAATGCAGATTTTTCTGAAGGTGGCCTCTAATTAAGGGTTTGCTGACTGAGAGGATCTAAATCAAAACCCACCAAGGGCGAAGCTTTCATTTGTCGTGCTCTGACATTACAAACCGGGAAGTCAATTATCAGGCCCTGACTGCTTCCTTCCCTCAGCCCCAACTTTTATGCTGTTGCACAGTAAGATGGGTTTTATTAAAAATGAGGAATTACATCAAGTGCCAGTGGCTTAAAGGCCCTTATCCAGCAAAACCACTTAAGCACACGCTTCTGTTTTACTGGAGCTTGCACGCCTTCCAAGTCTTATGTATGTTCTTAAGTGTTCTGCTGAAATGAGGCCAAAAAGATGAATTTTCCAAAGGCAGCTACACACCGAATGCAGACATTTCTCTAACACACCTTGAAGGGTTTGGATCTCCTTATTCACCCAGCGTTACAGCATTTTCACTTGGGTGGAACTGATGCGAGTGCACTGGGCATTCAGTGGATGGAGGATTGGATTCTCTGAGAGATATTGGGCTTTTATCAGAAAATGCTAGGTCTTATCTTCAAGTTCTCAGTTATCATAGGAATGTGGCCTACGGGTCAGAACAGCTCCTGCACAGCCGTGGTCACTGTGGAAATCCTGCGGCATCCGACCTCCGCCGGAGGAAAGCCGCACGTGACGGCCAGTCACGGCAAAGCCCACAGACAGCATAAGCACCAAGATAAATAATTATTCAAGAAAATAAGCTGCCTCTGTGCTTATTTTGCCAATCTGAGTTAGGTATTTACATAAACTAATTACGTGCGTGTTGCCTGAGAGACAGGTAAATAGTGCATATTTTACTTATTTAATTGTTACTCAGGTGTCTGTCTGGCAGCGTTGACACTTTCATCCCTCGGTCTCTTTTGCCACCACCACCGCCAGCGCTGGGGCTGCAGCGTTTTCCTGCTCTTCTGCTCCCACCGCCCTGCTTCGGGTCCCATCTCCCTCCCCTCCCTGCTTTGCTTGCTCGGCTGCTGTGCCGTGCTCCAGCGCCCTGTCCCTGCATGGTCTGCTGCGTGCCGGCCTCGCTCCTGCGTCTTCCCGCATCTTTCCCTGCAGCGGAGCCGGCACCCGGGCATCCTTGGGCACAGACGTCCCGGAGCACTGGGGGAGGACAAGGCCAGGCACAGCCGGGGCAGCCGCTCTGTCTTGCAGCCCGTGGCTTGGAGACAGAGGGGCTGCTGCTTTAGCGGGCGGCCGAACGCTCTGCCAAGAGCCCTGTGCCCGCAGCCCTCCCCTCTTGCTGCCCAGCGGTAGGAAGACACTCCGCGTGGGAAGCGATGCTCGAGGCAGAGCGAGGTCGCGCCCGGCAGCATCCCAGACGCTCCTCAGCCTGCCACCACGTGCCCCGTGCGCGGGCGGTCAGCGTTAATTGCCTGACTCCAGCTCTTAATGGCTGCTCTTGCAATGTCGGTCCTAATTTCCACATAATTTTTGTCAATGAATTTATTTAATATCAGTGTGAATTAAGAACAGGTGTCGGCAGGGAAAAGCCTAGCTGTAAGCTGAAGAGGAGAAATGAGGAGCATGAAGTCCTCTTGGGCCTCTTGTGATCTTTTCTTTAGGGAAGTTCCTCAGAGATAGAGCTACCCTTAGTTGTACCTAAGAGATGGCTGTCGGATCCCGGTGAGGACGGCCGTATTTTTAGACAAGCCCTGTCCTATGAATTGCTGGCAGGTGAGCAAGCTGGGGAGGGAGAGGCAGGTCCAGAGCCTGCAGAACAAGCAGAGAGCTCAGGGCTCCCAACGCGCACCTCAGTATGCTTCCATCGCCGGGATCGCCGAATACGATGAATATGAATCCACCCAATTAACGATGCTGAGCACAAAGGGAGAAACTGCAGCCAGCTGTTTGGGCTTATTTCTGTCTCCTCCCTAACGCTGAGCTCCTGCAGCGTATAAACAAGAGATGGGGAACACTTCATTCAACAAAATTGGTTTTTTCCTATTCCTGGCCTAGTGGCTTCCAAATGAATCCCCAGCTCATGGCACTTGAAAAGAACATCCACCGGTGCGGGGACGTTAAATGGGAATGTGGCAATGTGGTGCAGTATGTGTTTCTGCCAGAATTTAC